CTCTGTTGTTGTCTGTCTGTCTGTCTGTCTCTCTCTCTCTCTCTCTCTCTCTCTCTCTCTCTCTCTCTCTGAACACGCCCCCCAACCCCATCCCCTCAACAACAACAAAAGAAAAAAAAAGCCGCGTCGCTTTCTGCACTGCACTCGAGACACACTTTAATTTGAACAGCCTGCGGAGAAATATCATCATACATACTAGTGGTGGGCAAAATCCGGATAACTTATCAGGATAACCGAATAATTCTCAATTAAACATCCGGATTTAGAGTCTTAAAATCTCTTTCCTAACCAGTTTATCGAAGTGGATGCACCCATTTTGTTGAGGTGGTTCTAACCCATTTCCCCCAAAGCGGTTTTATAACTACGCATTTAATTGCCGAAGAGGTGCACTTGCATAGTATCGGATTTTATTAAAGCGACTCATTGCCCATCCCTAACATCCCGGGTCAGCTTCCGACAGCTTCCGACAAACAACATTCGTTTTAGATTACAAATCTCGTTAAATTCCTCCTAGATCTAGTGAAGTTTACGATCATGCTGAACGGCTGTCAACTGTCCTTGCAACGTGATACATGTAGTATATTTTCCACACCGTCTCTTCTCTACGCCCACAGGTGGGCGGTTGGCGGGTGCTCTGCTGCGGTTTGCTCCTAGTTTCCTATCAAACATCGGTCGTCCTCATCTCTCCTCATTTTTTCTTATCCAATACCTCCTTATAAATCTCTCTTTCTCATTTTCTGTAAACGTCATTCTCTAATCTTCAGCACTTATTGTACTTATATGACGTAATCGTGTTGCAAGTGCTGTAATAATACTAGAGAGACGGCACTTCGCCCGGATGCGCGTATCTGGGTCACCAGCTGATCGTGGAGAAACGCGCAGTAAACAAAACAAACAGCGTCCATTGTTCAAGACATTTTCGTTGATCGCAGACAAGCACGGCCCCGGTTAGCACGAAGTGTCAATGACGTTCTGCTATAAACTGCACCTATTAAAATAAAAATCTGAGTTTCTTTCGATTTCCAAAGGATGACGAATAGTATTTTTTTGATGAATAGAAACATATAGATCAAAATAATGACAATATGATTGTGGTCCTACCAGACT